AGCAGCTAAGGGCTCATAGTGGTAGGAGGATGATATGGGTATATTGGAGTTTCTTCAAGCCACCATTCATACAGATAAGTGAGGACATTCAACACTAAAATTGATCGGTAACAAACAGAGGGAGAGTTCAACGCTCAGTATTTATTCCTCGTCAAATCAAACACCCAAATAGAATTAAAGAGGGAACTAAATAGAGTTTGAAAGACTAGCTTATAAGAAAGAAGGGTTACTACACTTGGTTATACCAAAGCTACTATTGCATAACTGAACACATCCTAAAAAATAGCTTTACCTACTGTTAGAGCCCATAAGAGATCCTTACCTAAGATGGATGTTGACTCGCTACCACTACAACTCAATCCCAATCATAGGCTAAGTGTAACCTATAATCGGGTTTAGCATAGAGCAAGTATATCAAATATCAACACCCTTACTTCAGCCGTCTACAAGTTATCTAGCAATCGATTTGTTGTTAAAGCTAATTAACTAAACAAGCAAGTGATAGGCTCTATTCTCAAGGCATTATTCTCAAGGCATTTTCACGCTAATCACTGTTTCTAGGCCACATATCAAGTTATTATGCCCATTTTCATTCCTATTTGTAAAACATGCATTTCAGCATAAGTAATCTTGATATGAAGGTTTTCATGGGGGAATCGACCCCACTTGGTCGTATTTTATGCTTCTCCAAGTATTTGTGATGAAATTCCAGGTCTCTTATACTTTTGGGATTGATCGGGAATCAATTGGAGTCCATCCGGGCATGGTTGGGAAGCATAGGTGACTCGTCCCGAATACCACAATAATTTCCCGCCTAAGGTCCAAGTATAAACCTTAGTCGGGTGTAGTACAGGATAAGTATGTTTAAATATCAACCCGGCCAGGGCCGTGTACCCCTACTTCAGTCATTTGAATCATTATCTAGCAACAAAGTTTTGGTTGAAAATTTTTCTAAATAAAATAAAATCAGGCAAAGGTAAATGGTTTTGAAAGCTCTTTGTGAGAAGGATCACTCGGGTGTCGCTTCCCCCTAACTACTTCCATGGTATGTGAATTGAAACGATTGCTATGGGCACGGTAAATGGTTTTGAAGGCTCTTTGTAGGAAGGATCACTCGGGTGTCGCTTCCCCCTAACTACTACCATGGTATGTGAATTGAAACGATTGCTATGGGCAAGGTATCCGCGAACCGCAGAGGGATGCAAATATGGTCGTAGACCACATTCTCGATCGCTAAAGCGAGGTATACATTATAGGCCATGTCACTCGGCTCTCTTTAGGCAATCAGTGGTTGACTTACTCTCTCACTCAACTCAAGGGTTGGACGGCTTAATCACGCTTAACCAATTTGCTTAATTTAACATTTAGGTTTGCCCTAAATTAACCTAAATTAGGTGGCTTGAAAATCTAAAGGAAAACCAACTCGATCGAGTCTCCCTTGGAAGGGGGGATTTTCCTCTCTAATCTAGTTTAAAGTGGCTAATTAGATCGCTAAGCACCAACATGAACAAACCTAAGGATGCTAAGCACAATTATGCACAATCCTTAGGTTGCTAAGCACCAACATGCATAAACCTAAGGATGCTAAGCACAAAACATGCACAACCCTTATATTGCTAAGCACGAGCATGCACAATCACATGAATAATACCTTAATCATTGAATTAAAGAATACCCAATGACAATCATTCAATTCACATAAAAGAAACCACATGGTAGCTAGTTAGGGTTTCATAACACCCAAGTGAAAAGAAATCTACTCCATGCTAGAAATGGGAGAAACACAAGGAGAAGAAGTAGAACCCATCTTGTGGGAGGCTTCCAATCTTCCAGACCCTTGTGTTGAACTTCTCTTGGGGAGAATCATCTCAAATCCCACCTTGGAGCAAAACCCTAGCCTCCTTCTCCTTTGGTTCATGTTTCTCTCTCTAAAAATCTGAAGAAGGCTTTCTCACACAATGAGCTCTCCCTTCTCTCTTCCTTTCAACTCAGGTTTTAAATAGTGAACAAGCTCAGTTCACGGCCGTGAACTCTGAACTATGAAATGCGTCCGTGAACTTCAGATGGGCGCCGAAATGCACCGCTTTGCTTCCACGGGTTCACGGCCAACAACACTTGTTCACGGTCTTAGCGATCGTGAACTGAATTAGCGTCAGTAAATTGCATTTTTTCCCTAGACGCCACAATGTTCACGCCCAACGACTCTTCTTCAAAGTCATACAAGACCGTGAACATCCAAAGAAAACTGTGAACTCGTCGTTTTTCACCTCTTCTCCCGTTTTCGTTCCTTTTCGTACAACTTTCGACTCCGGCGCTGGTTTCTCCTGTTAAATCCTTAAACACACTAAAATACGAGAAAAATACGGTAAAACCACCCTTTTAGGAGCGAAATTTCCAGAAACGACTAAGGAAAACAAGGGCAAAACATGTACAATTAGGCCCGAATCACTCCCCCACACTTAGACGTTTGCTTGTCCCCAAACAAACCATTTCACACAAGGTAATATTTCAACCTTCCTAAATACTTTGGGGACAACTCAAAGGGCACAAAGTGGGAATTCTCAACTGCTATTGGCAATCAATACATGGACCGTTGCAAGCAATACCGACATCCACCACTAACGACATTCGAAGCCACCAAAAACAGGGAAACGAAAAGTTCTCATCTTGTTCATGGATCAATGCAAGTCTCAACAAAACCACTTATCAATCACAACCAACCATGCATAGAATTCAAGTCCGAGGAACAAATGGAAAGGCAACAAAGGTCCTCACCAGGGAATGATATGCGATGCAAAACAAGAATGAATCACTCTTAAGACCAGTGGGGTCAGGACCTTTAGGTGCAAAAGATGTGCACAATCATAAACAGTTAGTCCTATCGTCTCAATACCATCACTACAGGAAAACCGGTTTTTATTCACGGTATCTTATTCACGGGAATTGTTCCTGTACTTAGAAGTACACTAATAGTCACAGGAAAAATTCCTGTAATTGATTGTATCGTTCTAATCACGGGAATTAATTTAACAACTTTTAGACTTAATTTCCCGTGACTAGTCGTTAGTCACGGTTAATTACCATGAACAATGCAACAATCTAAATTGTAAATAAAAAATAATATGAATTAAAAAATTGGTGAAATAAATTCAGCTCCAAATCCCAAATTCAGCTCCCTAATAAATGTGGCCGATGCTCTTTCCTTCCAAATTTTCGTATGAAAGAAGTTGGAGTCCTAATAAATCACTAAATGGGTAAAAAAAATGGGCACGTTAAATTGGAGAATGGAGACTGCATTTCCCCCAATTCGTTTTCTAATGAAAATTGGTTTCCCAAAAAAATTGATATCAATCTCCCGCACTCTGTCAATCTCCCGCATTTTCTTCCCGCCACTAAAATTTTGATGGCGCCAAACCCAAATTTTTAGGCTCCAAATCCAAAATCTTTCGCTCCCGCAAAGCCTAAAATTTGGCTCCCGCATTTTATACCTGATAAAAACGAAAGTTTTGCCAAGATTTTAGCTTTCCCACTCTCTGCGTCTCCAATAATAAAAAAAACTCTCTGCCTTCCCAACTTTCTCCGTTCCCATCTGTTTGTTCTGTATCACAACCATGTCGATCTCGTCATCCCCGTTTTCTTTCTCCCTTTGTAGTTAAAATCTCTTCTTTTACCGACACACTCTTCCGGCTGTCAATCCACGCACTGAAGAGCACACTCGACCGCCTGCAACTGAGGTATGTTCCTATTCAAATATCTGGTTTTCTTTGAAATCAATTCCTCCCTCCCTCCCTCCCCTTCTCTTTGAAATCGATTGGTAATGAACAAAGAATAAATTCCAGTTTGCACTCAGTTCTTATATTTGTTCTATTTCGCAAAACATTAGGTTTCTATTTTGAGCAACAAGATCGTGAGGTACATAATGCATTTATTTGATCTCTTGATTTATTAACTAGTTTATTGATTTTCTGGTATGTAGTTATCGTTACCCTCTTGTAATTGAATAGACAATGAAGGCTGGTCAGAATCTTAAAGGGAACCGTAGTCAGAATCCTAAGGTGAAGGGTGGTCAGAACCTTCACAAAACTGCAGCAAAATATGTTGCTCCTGGCTCACTTGGGAGGAGGGTTCCAAATCGACCAACATCTTTCTCCACTTTAACATCTTCCTCAGATGTGGCTTCACAATCTCTTCCCATGCCACAAGCAACACCTAGTACGTACCTTGTATAATTGGTTTCACATTGTTCAATTTTGATGTAAACTACTAACTCTTGACTCTTTTTTGCAGCTCCTAAAAGGGCAAGAGAACCCACTGCTGTAACTGATGGTATGCTGCAAAGGGAAGGAGAACCCCCTATTGTACCTGATAACATGCCACAAAGGCAAAGAGAACTCCCAGTTGACAGAAATAGGCCTTTACCTGCTGAGCAACCGGCTATGGAAGATGCACAGGTGGCTGCTAATGAAGAATCTACTGATAGAGGCAAGTTTTTATTTAGTGAAGTTGATTTGTAAATCCTATTTCATTTCTGTATGTCCAAAATTTTCTTTGTTAGTTTATTGTTGGATTGAACATGCCAATTTTGTTGATTTTTTGCTGCTGGTTTTTGCTACAGTAAGACAGAAGAATGTACGAGGTATCAGCATTTGCAAGGCGGTTGCTAGACTTAGGCGTGGTGAGAAGCTGCCTATTGCCTTCTACAACAATCGTGGTGCTGGGCCAAATAGAGCAACCTGGTCAAGCTTTATTGGACTGGTTGTTCGAAATCCCCAAATCTGTTCATTCAAATCAAGAAGATGGAAGTCGAAGAGTCGGGCAGAACTTGAGCATATGTGGGCTGCAGTTACGGTAAGGAATAATATGCAATTGTGTCTTGTGATTCCATTCTATCCATGTTATTCATGTAATTAATGTTAATGATACAATGGTTGTAGGAATATTTCTATAATCCCCATATGATAGAATATAAGTATCATACTTTAATTCATATGAGGGACCGTTGGAACAAGTGGAGGTCGGTATTGTATCGTGAATATGCAAAGCCATGTGGATGTGAAGAAGAGGCCCTGAAAAATAAGCCTGATACAGTAGGTAGCCAAGAGGATTGGGAATGGTGTGTGAAACATGTTTTCTATAGTCCTGAATTTCAGGTAGTGAAAATTTGCTCATATGTACTTGTAATATTGATTTGTATTATTTATTGGAATGAGTACTGCTAATTTAGTTCTTACCATTACAGAAATTGAGCAAGAACAATGCATTGAATAGAATGAAAAAAACTATGAATCATCATAGTGGAAGCAAGCCTAATCGAGAATACTTCTATGAAATGGTATCATCTATAACTTGTTTACTAGTAGTGCAGAACATATGATTCATTCGATGTATGATTTTGGATTGCTTTTCAATAATGCAACAGAGTTGTTTCTGTTCTTGTTATTTCTGTTAATGCTGCTGTTCCGTTTTTGCTTATGCAACTGCTGTTTTGTCTCTCACAGCTGTAGTTATGTTTCTGTTGCTGCTGTTTCTATTTAACTATGCTGCTGATACGTTTATGTTGCTGCTGTTTCTATTTATTTATGCTGCTCATATGTTCAGTCTATTTATTTATGCTGTTGTTGTTTATTTATGTTTATTTATGCTGCTGTTTCTCTTTGTGCTGATTTTGGTTGTTCTCTTTTCTTAGGGTGGAAAGGATGGGAGTCCTCCGACCATAGATAAAGTGTTTTTTGAGACACATAAGAGCAATGGTGAAATAAAGGAACAAGCAGCAAAAGAAAGACATGTAATATTAAATCTTTAAGTTTGAAGTTATGTTCATACTTATATTTGCTATGGGTTATGATTGTTAATTATTTGATTTTCATAGGCTGGACTTGTTGAGACATGTGAAGCTAATCCAGAGTTGGAGCCAATGGAATTGGTAGAGAAGTACTATGGAGAACAAAGACATGGACATATAATTGGATTTGGAGGTGGGTTGAGACCTAAAGACTTGAAGGGTTCAGATGCATTAAGCAGGGCAGAATTGGCAAGCAAACTAAGGGACTCAAATGGAGAGAAGGCAGACATGGCAACTGTAATAGCAGAGCAAGCCAAAGTTATTTCTGAAATGAGAGACATGATGGAAAGGATGAACCAGAGGTCTGGCAGTCCGACAACAACTCAAAATGGTCACTCCTAAGTATGTATCCTTTACTTTTGTCATTTGCACTCTTATGTTGATGCTTCTCCATTTTTATTATGCTTGGTTTGAGTGCAGATTCTAATTTTGTGCATTCTTTTTCATGGCAGGTAGGGATGTGATTGATGACACCAACTAACCTTTTGATTGTGGAGGAGGATGAAATGTAACTCTAGATTAGGAGGAGTTTTAGATGTTTGTTGAAATCTTTTGAATGATTTTGGATGGGTGTCATGTACTAGTTAATTAGCTTTTGGATGGTTAGAAATATCTAAAACTCTTCTGACTATTGATCTAAGTGTAGTTCTAGTATATATAGCATCTAGAACTCTTTTGACTACTTATGTAGAATGTAATATTAATCTGGATTAAGTGTGCAAGTATTTATAAATTAAAGTTGATGCAGCTGATCCTTGAATTGCATTACATAGAGAACTTGCACCCAAATCCCATTCCAGCACATGATTTTTTGGCATTTGCACCTCAATCAATGATTTGCACGATGTCGAACTTGGTAGCTTGGCCCAGATTTGCACCATGGTAGCTAAGGCAAAAGATTAAAATATGATTTTATCCTTTTTCCCACGTTGCAGTAGGCTCGAACCAGGTAGCTGAACGAAAAAAATAAGTCAGCATACCTAGCTTACCATCTTGCCAAATGTGAATTTCTAATCATTTATGACATTAATCTTGTATATTAAGCCCACGCCAAACTAACCGCTAGCTAACTTATGGACGTTTTTTTGTTGTCTTTTACGTGTACGAAACTTAAATCGGTCATAATTTTGAACTCGATTATCCGATTGGATTGGAGTATCTTTTTTATTTCATACAACTTTTCGTGGTCTAAACTAAGCATTTTGTGATTTTCTCAAACTTTGAAGAGTTGTAATTTTTCATTTAGTAACCCATTTCGTGTAATTTTATTTTCCCTTTTGTAGAGCCATTCTTATATTTATGGTGATGTTTCAAAAGAGCCTATAATGCATGATTTTAAGGTTTGGGCCGTTTTAACTTTTTAGACTTTAGATCAATAAGCTGTAACTCAAAATATTAAAACAAATGTATGTTTAGTCTGCTGGTTTGGTTTTTGAACTAAAATTGTGGTCACCGCTTAAGTTTTTTTTCACTTTTCTTTTTTCCAATGTCGTTTTTTCCTTCTCATGTACGATGCGCGACTTCCTCCCCTTTGTTCTTACCCTAATTTTTTCACTTTCCCTTTCCACTGCTTTCCTTCTCATCGTTCGTTCGCCTCTTTGTAACCAGTCCTAATCTGAAAACCAATCGAATTCATGGCTCCATATCATTGAATTCGAGGTGCTCTAGATCCTCTTCAAAAGCCAGTTGTCATCTATCGCCTGTGGGGCGGAGCGGCGGCTGTGGGGCGGAGCGGACCTGTTGTCGGGGTTGCTGGTGCTGAGTGGTGCTGCTGTGGAGCGAAGCAGAGCTGGTAAATGCAAGTGGCTCTGCTGTCGTGGGGAGGAGCTGCGGCTGTGGTGCTGAGCGACTGCTATTGTGGCGCGGAGGAGTGGCTGCTGTGGTGCGAAGGAGTGACTGCTTTCGCGCGGAGGAGCTGCTTCTGTGGAGCAGAGCGGAGCTGCTGTCTGAATGTGAACAATTTCAGAAAATCCAGGTGTGTTGTGCTACTCCTCCCTCAGCATATAATGTGTGCAGAACAAGTTCAGTAGTTTATGGTATTTCTGTTATGTTTTAGAAAATGGCACCAAGTAAAACTTGGATGCTTGTGGACAATAGGCTCAGTGAGGATTATAAGAACGGAGTTACAGAATTTTTAGACTTTGCATTTCAAAGGAATAAGGGCAGGTGTGAGATTAGATGTCCATGTGTGAAGTGTTGCAATGGAAAGTCAGGAACACGTGAGACCGTAACTGCACATTTGCTCATTTATGGAATGGTCCAAAACTATACATTTTGGTGCCACCATGGAGAAAGGTCGGGCGAGGCATTTGGTCCAGCATTCGAAAATGTCAACGGTGCAGATGAGAATGAGTATCAGCATGAGAATGAGCAGGAGAATGAAATGCATCAGGTTTTGAGAGATTTGTATCCTAATATTGACATCAGTGAAGAAGAAATTGATATGGATTACGAGGAAGCATACAATGAGTCACCAAATGATGAAGCAGAAAAGTTCTATAGACTGTTAAATGACTCTGAGCAACCTGTTTATGATGGTTGTAAAAGTTCAAAGTTATCAACTATAGTGAAGCTTCTTCACATAAAGACTTTTGGAAGATGGAGTAATGAGTCATTTAACATGTTGCTCAAGCTTATGAAGGAAGATCATTAGCTTTGTTTAGGTGTGATTGGTGTGATGTCTATGATAAGACAAAAGGGCTGAAAGTGGATGAACATGGGTTTGTGAGTGTCAACCTGAATAGAATGTTGAAGACAAATGAGCCATTTGTCCTTGCAAGTCAAGTATCCCAGGTATTTTATGCAGAAGACAATGTTAATAAGAATTGGCACTTAGCTGTAAAGGTGCCACCTCGAGCCATGGATGTGTTGCTAAGTGAAATGGTTCAGCCTATAGATTGGTATGGTTTCTCTTTTTTTTTTTGTTGAATCTCTCCTTTTGGAAAGTGATTTTTGTTGTCTTATTGTTTCTAACATTAAAATTTCAATTGTCTTCCTTTTGTGTTGTCATAGAAGACTGTTCTGTTCGGCCAAGTTTGTCATTATTGAAGATTCTGGAAAGTGACTGTTCTGTTTGGGTTAGTATCTTTCATCAAAGCCCTTATTATAGTGAACTAAAATTGATCGATAATTTTGTATACCGTCTTGGTTGTTCTGTTTGGGTTAGTATCTTTCATCAAAGCTCTCATTATAGTGAACTAACAGAAATGGATGGATTTGTATGCAGTTGGCTGTTCTGTTTGGGTTAGTATGCTTCATCAACGCTCTCATTATAGTGAACTAAGATAGATTATGGATCTGTATGCAGTCTTGGCTGTTCTTGTTTACTGCAATTTCCCTTTTAGTATGCTCAGATGTTAGACAATGAATCATATGTCTATAGTAGTATGTAGGGTTCTTCTAACTTCATAGCCTAGTTATTGGATACCATATCATGATTCTGATTCATTATTGGTGCATGACTAGAATGAGGATAAATAGTTCAAATGATATAGCTCCTTTCACTTTTCAGGTTCATTACTCTTTTTGTTGGTGGTGATGAGATTTTGGGGTGATGTTCATGGATACTCTCTCACAGCAAGCTCCAAGAAGACGGTGGTCTACACAGCAAGCTCTAAACCTATATAATTAGATTGTAATAGATATATAGAATCGCTTGTAGGTAAGATATTATTCTATTTACACTTATTATTGTTGGCAGGAAACTTTAATATAACTGATTTTCATAATTATTGTGTTGTATCTAGTCATTGAAACATACTGTGACTGATTGGTGGTTTGTATGTAGTCAGCTGTAAATACTGTGACCGATGCTTCGTAATTAGTCTTGGGAAAATACAGTGACCAGTGATTTGTAATTTGGCACAGAAAATACCGTGTACAGTAGTTTGTATGTAGTCACAGGAAATACAATGACTAGTTATTGATATTTTTAATCACGGGAAAACTAGTCACTACAGGTATTAAATATCGTGATTAGTTATTGAGATCTAGTCACGGGAATCGATTTTATCACAGTAAATACCGTGATTAGTGATTGACATCTAGATACGGGAATTGATTTTGTCACAGTAAATACCGTGATTAGTGATTGATATCTAGTCACGGTAATCAATTTTGCTACGGTAATACCGTCATTAGTGATTGACATCTAGTCACGGTAATCAATTTTGCTACGGTAAATACTGTGTCAAAAGGTGAACTTCCCGTCTTTAAATGATTATTTTTCTTGGTTTTGTGCTCCAATTTAATGCATTAGTCACCCGAATTCCCGTGAGTAATACGTACAAATTATCACAGGAAAGTATACCGTGAGTAGTTATAACTAGTTACGGTAGAAATTTCCCGTGACCTTTACAATTAGACACGGAGGTATATATTACGGTAACTTTCCCGTGACTGGAAGTACTAAACACGGGAAACGCACTTTCAAACACGGGATTCACCGTGAATAAATGATCTATTTTCTGTAGTGCATGTCAGTAACCTTTAAATGCTAGAGTTCACAGGATGGTTGTCGCCACTTTCTTGTCCGGAGGTCTTAGACGCGGGTTCAGAGGATTGGCAATTGTTTTGGACATGGGAAAAATGCTTTTTGGGTGGTGGCAATCATGACGTGAGGTTCTACATCTTCAACCTAAACCAGAAGGTTCTATGGTTTCGACTAAAACCCTTCTCTTCAAACAAAGGCCACTAGCATCGGCCAAAAACCTTATAACTCCCTTCCAAACTATCACCCATCGTGAACTATATTGAAGCACTCTTCCTCGGTCTACTCTTGCAAGCACATTCAGTTTTGTTAGTGAAGGAGTTATAAAACAATGTGGGGGTTTCAATGGCTTGGGTGCCAAAAAACCCCTCCTAGAGCATGTACTTTTGTTTTTCGTGGCACTCTACTTTATTTACCCCATTTTATTACCTCTTTTTCGTTTCTCTTTTCTTTCTTTTTCTTTTCTTTTTGAGGGGCGTACTAGAGAGTAAAAACACTTTCCACCTATACATTTAACGACTAATGCTCTCTTTTTGAAGAACTCACTCCAACACTACACTTCATTTTTCATTCCTAGCAAGAACCGCACACAAACCTCCTATGTAGAACCTCTATGGAACTCTTAAGTGAGAGCTCCGGGACACAAGGACGACTCGTGTTTAGACACGAAGAAAGGATTGGGGGTCGTTCTATTAACACCATTATTCTCACAAGCAAGAAGCTCCTAACTTAAGAACGACCCTCTAAGTCACAAGGCTCAAAGGGGTTGACTAAGGGATGACACATTTCGGGACAATCAACATTTGGGCGTGGATTAATCCTATGCCTCCATCATACTCTCTAGTGACAACTGTGAAGTTACTCGCCATGGTAAGAGGGATCTAAGCACACAAGAAGAAAACGATCGGCTCAAAGCTCACATGGCTACCTAGTACCCAACCATCTATTCCAATTCACAAACACAATGCATGGAAATAGTAATCAACAAGTAACCGAGTCAAGACATCCATTCATTTATGCACACATGATAACTAAACTTTTGCCCTATCCTAATGGACCTCTCAGTCATCATCATAGGATATACTCGATCACATGCAACAATTCAAGATCAATGCCAATAAACACGAGAATTTCCCACACACCGGCCACTTTGATCATGCAAACATTGCTTGGAGCCCTCAAATTTTTGAAATTTGGGCATATATCAACGCTCCAAGCTTCCATCACACTCACACAAGCATAATAGTAAACTACCCCCCCCCCCCTAAACTCGACATTGCCCTCAATGGCGCAAGAAATGGGTAAAATGATGTTACTGCTTGGGCTTGGTGAGTGAAAGTTGGAATCGAATCTGGGGTAGGATATTTTGAGCTTTAAGGAGAGATAAAAAATACACACACAAGCTTAATACGACTCCCTCGAGGCGAGGTTAATACAAACACAATACGATAGTAGTAGTAGTATGGTAGTTTATGGTCACACACACACACACATAAAAGAAAGAAATATAACAAAAGCAACAAGTTCAGGATTACAAGTGGAGAAGTGGGCTGAAAGAAATCGGCTCTGCCACATTTCTCACTCGTCGGCTACCTCTCTCTGGTGGAAGGACCCACGACCTCATCTGGGAGGACGCCCCTGGCGTCGAGCCATCAACTCGAGCAGATCAGTCTGCCGGTCGTGGCGGGAAGTAAATCCCATGAAGTTCGTCTCTAGGCGATCCACCCACTAGACGAGGGGATCACATGCTGGTGGTGGTGGTGGCTGTGCTGGGAGCTGGACGTCGGCGGCAGCCGGGTTTGCGAGCAGGTGGCTGCTCTGCTGGTGGTGGGACCTCGGGGTCAGGCTCCACAGGAGCCGGGTCAAATGCTACTTGGATGACTCCTGAAGGTCGGAGTCCCTCGAGGTACTCCACTCCTCGCTCTTCCTAGAGTACCAGCTTCTGATTGTATAGTGTCTCCACTGGGAAGGGATTCGTCCTCCCAGCGTTGGTGCAACTAACTAGATCCACATGGAAGTGTCGGGCTATCCTCGTAATGATGCACCCCATGTGCATGGTGTCCACGATGTTCCGTCCCAGACAACGGACGAAAGAAGTGGCGATCAACGATCCCAGATGGATCGGCTCTGCTGGACTCCTCATGGAGTAGAGGGAAATGAGCCCTCTGTTCGTCATCAGGTGGCCTGACTGAAGGCTGGGGACGACTGAACGGGTGAGCAAAGAGTGGAGGATCCTCCAATGGGTCTTCAGCTTCACTGCATTGGTGCAGCTCCCCTCGAATTTGTCATGCTCATGCTCGGGCCGGCAGAGGGCTCGAAATGCTCCCTGGTAGTTGAAGTTGACGGTGTACTGCCGCTTCATCATCGTTATGTGGGCGGTGTCGAGCACCATGGTCTGAGCAAAAGCATCGTAGGTCAGCACCCGTGGCTGACCTCCCTGCATAAACTCCACTCTCGGTCGGCTCTTCTTGCTGGTCGGGATGATGTGGGAGAAAGTGGAGTATAACTCCACACTTAGCTCGTGGTAGATCTCCTCGTCCATCGTCAAGAGCTGGCACCACTGAGGGTTACAGAGCACCCCGGTCATCGCGGCTCGGCACCTGAACAAGTTGAACATGTCCACGTCCAGCCGCCAGTGAGGCCCAATCGGGCTGCCACTCTGGTAGGAGAACTTGTCGTTAAAATCCGGGTGGTGCACCAAATATCAGATGTACTCGTGCTCCAAGTTAAGAATCCTGCACAAATTGACAAACAGACACCATACGTGGAAACAATCATCAAATAATGCTCATTGGGAGGAAAAGAGATCCCCCCACACATATTTTCCACCATGGATATCAAATAATTAAGCTCAAGCTCACCGTGGCACTGTTGTGGGTAATTCACGGTTCAAGCACACAAAAAATTGAACCACAATACAAACCACGTTGGCTAACATCCACCAAACAAGCCTAAACTCCACCTGAATTCATAACATAGCACTTGGAGGGCAAATTCTAAAAATAAAGGCAATTCGGATAAAACATGCCCACCAAGGCTCAACTAAGCTCATGCAAAAATCATTCCATCATTCAATCGACCTAATTCACCTAATTCCTTGCCCTAAATCTAGGTTCAACATTCAAATCACAAAAATCATCCTCACTTCACTACCTATTCCGATTCTCCACGAATTAAAAAGGTGAAGCTGAAAAACCAACCTAGAGATGCAAGTAGGATGTAGGAGGAAGTGAGGTGCGGGCGAGGAATGCGAAAAACGACCGAAAACGAGACAAGAGAGGGGTCGCCGGAGCTTCGTCGAAAGCTCATCGGAGACTCGCCGCCGGCGACTTGATCGAACAAAAACTGCCCTAAATCTCTCCAAAATTTCAGCACAGGCCGGTTTTGATGAGGGGAGAATGGGTATGACGTTTGTTTTGGGTTTTGCTCGTCGGAAATGGGGGTAAAATTGAAAAACCGACGGAGTTTTGCGTTTTTCCAGCGAAGATTTGAAATTTTCCGGCGAGATTTGGTCGTGAAGTGAACAGACGCCGTTCACGGCCCTTTTATAGGCACAACTTGGAGTTCACAGATGCGTTGCCTTGTTCACGGTCTTAGAGACCGTGAACACTCAAATGCGTCCATGAACTGGAGTTGAACGACAGGTGGTGAACATGCAGAAGCGTCCAGTTCACGGACGCATTTGCCTGTTCACGGTCATATAAGACCGTGAATACAGCAATCCGTCCGTGAACATCAGACAAAATAGGACACTTCTGAGAAAAATTTGACTCAATCTATTCCACTGTGCCTCCTAATCGATCACAACACAACCTTAAATCGCAAAACCACAAAACTTGACACGGGGACACCACTTCACCACTCGAACTCTTTACTTGACACAAAAACGAAAATAAGGAAAAGTAAACAAACCTCCGTTGGGTTGCCTCCCAACAAGCGCTAATTTATCGTCATTAGCTTGATGGTTGGGGATCGATCACGACTGTGAACGTGATGCAACCGAGAGCAGATCCACCACACTCTCAGGGCGAGGCTTGTAGCCTCCCATCTTAGGCTCCTTGAGTTTGCCCTCTTGATTCGCCAACGTTGCTTCAGCCTTCCCCATCTTTCGGGCCAAAG